TGAGTATGATACTGGTATTGTGTATGGTATGTGAGAAAATGTGCCTGATTTTCAGAAATGCATACGGATATATGTAGGGATAAAATGGCATGATGTTTAGGGCTTTCTTTAAAAGATTTCAGCCAAACAAAACAAAACAAAACAAAACACATAATACTCTTGACAAACTATTGTTAAGTCTAGAATCTTGGTGATAGCTTTGTGAGAGTTCCCTACATATGTGTGTATATTTGATAAAATGTTTCATTCAAACACATTTCTTCAGAAAGAAGGATTTAGGGGCCCCTGGGTGGCTCAGTCATTAAGTATCTGCCTTCAGCTCAGGTCATGATCCCAGGGTATTGGGATTGAGCCCCACATCGGGCTCCCTGCTCCACGGGGAGCCTGCTTCTTCCTCTCCCACTCCCCCTGCTTGTGTTCCCTCTCTTGTTGTGTCTCTCTCTGTCAAATAAATAAAATATTTTTAAAAAGAAAAGAAAGAAGGATTTAACGCAACAGGAAAAAAGAATAGACAAGAAACGATGAATGTTATTCATGGAGGAATCCTATTGGACTGTGAGGACCCTTGTTCAGAAAGGAAAGCACATTGTAAAGAAGCTGGTGCCTATACAGATCCTGAGATGAGTTGCATGGTGGCCAGGTACTTTCAGTCACAACTCAGTGAGAAGAAATAAGATCTCCTTGCTCAATGAAAGATAACATCTGAAAAAAGTATTTTAGTGGGTTCATTCTAGTTCAGAAGCTATGGTTACACATATTTGCTGAAGAACAAGATTTTTCTCACTTTATTTTTGTAGTAGAGGCTTTTGAAAAATTGGAATACTCTAAGAATTTTTAGTATCAGGAAAACCACTGAGATAACAAAGAGGGAATCTTCTAGTGTGCCTCTTGTTTCTCCATATCTTCAAAGAGACTATCATTTTTTTTTTTTTTACATCTCAGTTAATTTGATGACTGACTTCTCAGAATATTAGGGACAAGATGAGTTTTCTATCTGTGAGTTTCTTTAGCTTGTTATTTTTTTAAATTTTTTATTTCTATTCAGCGTAACAGCTTGTTATTATTGCAAAGTCCAGACACCTCATATGACCTCATTAGTGTGGGTGCAGTGATGGGTGTGTACCTCATGATTGGTAGTGACATTGGTGGAAAGTCAAAGCCATACTTGCACTGACCAAATAGAATTCTACTGTCTGCTGGAAAGTAACTATGGAAAAAATCACTCACTTGTATTGCAGAGGTAGGGACCACAATATGAGTGATTTTCACTGGCTGTAGTGGGTTGGATGATGCACTCTCCAATGAAATATCCAAGTTTTAATCCATTGTACCTGTGAATGTAAACTTATTTGAAACAGGGTCTTTGCAGATATAATTAAGAATCTTGGGGTAAGATCACCCTAGATTTAGGATGGACCCTAAATCCAATGGCTATGTCCTTAAAAGATAAAAGAGAAGAAAAGTATAAACCCAAGAGGGACACAGGGGGAAAGCTGTGTGAAAATGGAAGCAGATATTGGAGTTATGCAGCTACAAGCCAAAAGATGGCAAGGATTGCTAGTTGCCACCAGAAGATAAGAGCAAGGCATGGAATGAATTCTCTTTCAGAGCCTCCAAGAGGACCCAACCCTCTCAACACTTTGATTTTGGACTTCTGGCCCCAAGACTGTGAGTGAATAAATTTCTGTTGTTTTAAGTCACTGCATTTGTGGTAATTTCCTATGAAGATCTGGGAAACTAATATAATTGATGGGGGTAGATTCTCACAGAAATAACCTGACGAATTCAAAGAAATGATTCAAATTCTCAGATGGCAGAGGCACCTGGGTGGCTTGATGGGTTACTCTTCTGCCTTCAGCTCAGGTCATTATCTCAGGGTTCTGGGATCGAGTCCTGGATCAGTCTCTCTGCTCAGCGGGGAGCCTGCTTCCCCCTCTCTCTCTGCCAACCTCTCTGCCTACTTGTGATCTTTCTTTCTGTTAAATAAGTAAATAAATGAAATTTTAAGAAAAATTCTCAGATGGCCTTAATTTGATTATTCATTCATTCATTTTTCTCATTTATTCATTCATTCATCAAATATCCACTATTGGCATATTTGGCCCCAAAATATAAACTGGGACTTTTTAAATTTTTTGACACATTCTTGTCCAAGTAAATTTGGTTACTGCTAACTTCTTAGGTGGGGGAATTTTTATTGTAGATATTTTGCACTCTACTTCAAAAGGGCTGTTATTTCTGGATTCCTGTAAGTTACCTTTGCATTCTGCCCAACAGTTGGTCAACAAATGGCAATAACAAAAAGTAAAGTGAGACTTCTCTGTTTTCTCAGAATTTTATCTAAGGCCACAAAGTTGAAGATGCATGGCAATAAATACTTCCACATTGGGAGGATAAGGACTAGATTCATCTTTGCAGGATCAACAAAAAGATAAAATCCTTATCACACATAATCTACATATAAGAAAAGAATTTGCTTTTAAAAAAAGAGTCTTGGGGCTCCTGGGTGGCTCAGTGGGTTGAGGCCTCTGCCTTTGACTCAGGTCATGATCCCGAATCCTGGGATCAATCCCCTCATCGGGCTCTCTGCTCAGCAGGGAGCCTGCTTCCCTTCCTCTCTCTCTGCCTGCCTTTCTGCCTACTTGTGATCTCTGTCTGTTAAATAAATAAATAAAATATTTTTTAAAAATTAAAAAAAAAAGTCTTTGAAAGGGATTCAAAGAAGCAAAGGATATTGGGATTTTTTTTTCCTCTTAGACGCTTTACAGCTGTGCTACATGTATGTTGCACAACTACAGGGGGCACCATTCACTCTACAGCCATGAGATTTATATAGTGTAATAACAATTTTCCAGCAGATGGCGGTAAAGTATCTGGAGGAATAAGGTCCTTTCCTAACTCACACAAAGTCATATAGGCTAGTAAAAGCTCTGCTCTTTTACCTTCTCCTCCACACTCCCTCAAGTCAAGTACACAGAATTCCAGGACAATCTTCACAGATGTTGGAATTGCCTGAAACAGGTGGCACTACCATCTCATTCCTTGGTTGAAAGCTGGCTGAGTTACAGAAACTCTTGGGCCTACCCCAGGGTACTTACTACCAGAGCAGAGCAGGGAGGCCTGAGAGAGCTTGACAAGGATCTCAGAAGTCTTTGACTTAATGCCTGTTCTTATCTGGAGAAGTTTGAAGGCAGGAGACTGGCTAGAACCATTATGACATCAAGAGAAGGAGAGGGGAGTTAGAGTTAGTTGCACTGCACTACAAACACTTGGCATGTCAAAAGTGCACGAATTCCTTGAGCCAAATGGACACCTGACTATAGGTAGCCAGGTGTGAACTCTCTGAAAGAACCTTGTCTGAGGAAACTACCTCTGATTGACAGCTGCCACACCCTCTCACCCCCTCATCCCCCACCTCCACCATCCCAAAAAGAGATGTACAACTAGAGGACAGAAAAGGTGAGGGGAGATCACCAAAGGTTACCCAGAGGAAAGATTACCTTTGGCATAAAAAGGTATGTGCAAGTCCATCACAGTTTTGCCAAAGAACCCATAAAAGTGTTCCACAAAGGAGAGACATTTCCACAACTGTAAGAAAACTATAAATCGCACCAGCCTTTGCCCATTTACCTGTTATCCATTCATCCCTCCCAACCCCAGAAGAGCCAGAAGCTGAAAAAAAAAAAAAAAAAGCAGGCAGAGAAGGAAAAGTAAAAATGAAAAAACACATTCTACCTCCCTTTCCTCAATGTGGGTTCCCAATTTACCAGTCAAGCCTAAGGAATTGCTACTCCCGTATACACTTTTGTTCTGTCTGAAGAGAACCTAGATTTTTATGTGGTCTCTCCCCCATGCAACTCACGTGCATTAGGGGAAGTGAAACATCTGAACGACAGCAACCCACTCTGTACCACCCCAACACTAGTTCTTATACTCTGACAACTATTAAACATAGTTCAAAGAAACTTTTAAAGATCTAAATAAATGGAAAGACATCTCATGTTCATGGATCAGAAGGCTTAATATTGTTAAAAGAAAGCAATTCTCCTCAAATTGATCTACACCTTTAACACAATTCCTCTCAAAATCCAAACTGGCTCTTTTGTAGAAATTGACAAGTTGATCCTAAATTTCATATAGAAATATAAGGAACCCAGAATCACCAAAACAAGCTTAAAGGAGAATAAAGTTGGAGGACTCACTCTGATTTCAAAATTTACTACAAAGCTACAGAAACCAAGACAGTGTGGTGCTAATATAAGAAGAGGCATATTGATCAGTGAGGTAGAACTGAAAGCCTAGCAATAAAACCCTCACATTCACAATCAATTGACTTCCTCCAGGATGCCAAAACAATCCAATCTATTCTTGGAAAAGAATAATCTCTTCAACAAACCGTGTTGGGATAACTGGATATTCTCATGCAAAGAAGTAAATTGGATCCCTTCCTCACATCATACACAAAATTTAGTTTAAGATAGGTCAGAGACACAATTACAAGAGCTAAAATTATAAATTTCTTAGAATAAAACATAGAGGGGCACCTGGATAGCTCAGTCAGTTAGGCATCCAACTCTTGATTTCAGCTCAGGTCATGATTTCAGTGTCATGAGATTGAGCCCTATGTTGGGTTCCACACTGGCTGTGGAGCCTGCTTAAGAATCTCTCCCTCTGTGTCTGCCCCTCCAACCCCTCTGTCCCTCCCTCTAAAAAAAACGACAACATGGGGTAAATCTCCATGACCTCAGATTTGGCAATGATTTCCTAGGTATGATACCAAAGCACACATGACAAAAGAGAAAAATAAATAAATTGGGCTTCATCAAGATTATAAACCTTTGTGCCTCAAAGGATATCATCAAGAAACTGAAAAGACAACCCACAAAATGGGGGAAAGTATTAGCAAATTCTGTATTTGATAAGGAACTTGTGTCAAATATATAAAGAACTCTCAACAACTTGATAAGAAGAAAACCCAATTTTAAAATGGACAAATAATAAGCTTTGCGCAGTGGCAGTATCATAGCCAATGAGGTTTATCCGAGGTGTGATTATTGCTAATTAAAATGGACAAATAATATTAATAAACATTTCTCCAAAGAAGACAAAATGATCCATAAACACATGAAAAGATGCTCAATTATCATTAGCTTTGTGGAAATGCAACTTGCATATGGAAATACAAATCAAAACCACAGTGAAATACCACTTCAAAATATTAGGGAGGCATTAGGGAGGCACCTGGGTGGCTTAGTTAAGCGTCTGCCTTTGGCTCTGATGGTAATCTCCGGGTCCTGGGGATTGAGTCCCACATTGGGCTCCCTGCTTGGCCAGAAGTCTGTTTGTCCCCCTGCTCCTCCCTCCGGCTTGTTCTCTCAAATAACACGGAGGACATAGGGAGATGGAGAGGAGAAGGGAGTAGAGGGAAATTGGAAGGGGAGGTAAACCATGAGAGACTATGGACTCTGAAAAACAATCTGAGGGCTTTGAAGGGGCCGGGTGGGGGGGCTGGGAGGTTGGGGGAGCCACGTGGTGGGTATTAAGTAGGGCACGTATTGCATGGAGCACTGGGTGTGGTGCAAAAACAATGAATTCTGTTACGCTGAAAAGAAATTTAAAAAAAATAAATTTTTAAAATAAATAAATAAATAAATAAATAAATAAATAAAATCTTTTTAAAAAATAGCCATTAGGGGGCGCCTGGGTGCCTCGGTTGGACATCAGACTCTGTCTTGGCTCAGGTCATGATCTCCCGCTTGTGGGATCCAGAACCAAGACTCTGTGCTTAGCCAGAGTCTTTTTGGGTTTCTCTCTCCCTCTGCCCCTCCCCCCTTAAATGGATGAATAAATCTTAAAAAAAGAAAAATAGCCAGTAGGATGACTGTCGGGGCACCTGCATGGCTCAGTCAGTTAATTGTCTGCCTTCCGTTAAGGTCATGATCATGCGTCCTGCGATGGAGTTCCGTGTTGGGCTACCTGCTCAGCGAGTAGTCTGCTTCCCCTCTTCCTCTACCCCACTTCCCCGCTCTTTTTCTTTCTCTCTCTCAAATAAATGAATAAAAATCTTTTTTTTTTAAAAGGATGATTACAATGACTATAATTTTAAAAAGACATGATAAATGAGGATGCAGAGAAATTGCAAACTTCATTCATTATGCATGAGAACATAAAATGGTGCAGACACTTCAGAAAACAATCGGACAGTTCTTCAAAAGATCAAGCGCAGAATTGTCACATGACCCACCAATTCTATTGCTGTATATACACTCAAAAAAAAAGAAAAATATATCCACAGGAAACTCATACATAAATGCTCGTAGCAGCATTATATATAATAAGCAAAAAGCAGATAAAACCTAAATGTCCATTAACTGATGAATAGATAAATAAGCCGCTGCCTTTGGCTCAGGTCCTAATCCCAGAGTCCTGGGATCAAGTCCTGAATCCGGCTGCTTGCTCGGCAGGGAGCCTGCTTCTCTCGCTGCCTCTGCCTGCAACTCTGCCTGCTTGTGTGTACTCTCTCTCTATGACAAATAAATAAATAAAATCTTAAAAAAAGAGAAATATCCAGAATAAGAAAATCTATAGAGATAGAAAATAGATTAGTAGTTGCCTAGGATGGAGGTTCCCTAGGGGGAAATGAGAACAGGGTTTTTAACAGTGATGAAAATGCTCTAAAACTGATCTTGGTGATGGTTACACTGGTTGCACTACTAAGAACAACTTTATTCTTCACTTTATTTTATTGTTTAAAGATTTTGTTTATTTGAGAGAGAGAGAATGAGCGAGAGAGAGAGAAGGGGGGCAGACGGAGCGGGAGAAACAGACTCCCCTTGGGACTTTGATCCCAAGACTCTGGGGTCATGAACTGAGCCAAAGGCACATGCTTAACCGACTGAGCCACCAAGGTACCCCAACTATTTACTTTAAATAGGTAAATTATATGTTAATTACATCTCCATAAAGCTGTTTCATATATATTTTAATTTTGAGGTCCATCCCTAGAGATTACAATTTAATTGTATTGGAACATCAGGATTTTTTTTTTAATATTTTATTTATTTATTTGACAGATCACAATTAAACAGAGAGGCAGGCAGAGAGAGAGAGAGAGGAAAGCAGGCTCCCCGCTGAGCAGAGAGCCCGATGTGGGACTTGATCCCAGGACCCTGAGATCATGACCTGAGCCGAAGGCAGCGGCTTAACCCACTGAGCCACCCAGGTGTCCCGGAGCATCAGGATTTTAAAAAATTTCTCAGGTGACCCAAATGTGCAGCAAAGCTTGAAAACCACGGATGTGAACTAATCATGATTAGTAACTTACTGAGATTGGTTTAGGTTTGGGCATATATACAACTCTTGACAACGAGATATAAGAAGTTGGCTTGGATTTCTTGGAAAGCTATCTATGAGAGTTAAAGGAGAAGAAACCTCCTTTTTTGAATATTATGTCTGGAACTGCAGCTGTCTTGTAACCATGAAAGGAGTTAATTCAAGGACAAATCTGACATACTAAGGATGGCAGAGAAGAAATATGGAAAAGTAACTGGGACCTGATTACTTAATTCAGCCGCTGAATTATATTGTTTCTATGTCATTTATTTCTGCTCTAATCTTTATTATTTCCTTCCTTCTGCTGGATTTTGGTTTTGCTTGCTCTTCTTTTTCTCGCTCCTTTAGGTGAAAAGTTAGATTGTTTATTTGAGATTTCTCCTGCTTCTTCAGATAGGCCTGTATTGTTATAAACTTCCCTCTTAGAACAGCTTTTGCTGCATCCCAAAGGTTTTGGACCATTGTATTTTCATTTTCATTTGTTTCCCTGTAATTTTTTATTTCTTCTTTGATTCCTTGGTTGACCAATTCACTGTTTAGTAACATGTTATTTAACCATCATGTATTTGTGATCTTTCCAGATTTTGTGTGTGTGTGTGTGTGTGTGGTTGATTTCCAGTTTCATAGCATTGTGGTCAGAAAAAATGCATGGTGTGACTTCAGTCTTTTTGAATTTACTGATACTTGTTTTGTGGCCTAATATGTGATCTATTCTGGATAATTTTCCATGTGCACTTGAAAAGAATGTGTTTTCTGATTTAGGGGAATGTTCTAAATATATATGCTAAATCCATCTGGTTAAGTGCATCAATCAAAGCTACTGTTTGCTTATTGATTTCCTGTTTAGATGATCTGTCCTTTGATGTAAGTGGGGTGTTAAAGTCCCCTCTGTTATTGTATTACTATCAATTAGTTCCTTTATGTTTGTTATTAACTATTTTATGTATTTGGGTGCTCCCATGTTGTTTGTATAAATATGTATAATTGTTATGTGCTCTTGTTGGATTGTCCCCTTTATTATTATATAGGATCCTTCTTTGTCTCTTGTTATAGTCTTTGTTTTTTTTTTATTTTTTTTTAAAGATTTTATTTATTTATTTGTCAGAGAGAGAGAGGGAGAGAGAGAGAGCACAGGCAGACAGAGTGACAGGCAGAGGCAGAGGGAGAAGCAGGTTCCCTGACGAGCAAGGAGCCTGATGTGGGATTCGATCCCAGGACACCAGGATCATGACCTGAGCCGAAGGCAGCTGCTTAACCAACTGAGCCACCCAGGCATCCCTAGTCTTTGTTTTAAAGTCTATTTTGTCTGCTGTAAATACTGCTACTCTGGCTTTCTTTTGACATCAATTTGCTTGGTAAATGTTTCTCCATCCCCTCACTTTTAATCTGCAGGAGTCTTTAGGTCTGAAATGAGTCTCTTGTTAGGTAGCATGTAGATGCATCTTTTTTTTTTATCCACTCTATCACCCTATGTCTTTTGATTGGAGTGTTTAGTCCATTTACATTCAAAGTAGTTACTGACAGATAATGTGTTCATTGTCATTTCATTACTTATTGTGTGGTTGATGTTGTTTTTAAGATTTTATTTATTTATTTGACAGAAAGAGCACAAGCAGGGAGAGCAGCAGGCAGAGGGAGAGGGAGAAGCAGACTCCTTCCCGAGCAGGGAGCCCACTGTGGGGCTGGATCCCCGGACCCTGAGATCTCAGCATGAACCAAAGGCAGATGCTTAACTGACTGAGCCTCCCCTGTTCTTTACTCCTCTCCCCTTCCACCATGTTTTAGGTATATAATGTTATATTTTAACATTCAATGGACAGTTGGGCTCTTTCCACAGTTTGGCTATTGTGGACATTTCTGCTATGAACACTGGGGAAAGAATCCCTTTTAATATTTCTTGTAGGGTTAGGTTAGTGCTCATGAACTCCTTTAGTTTTGTTGGTATGAGACAGTCCTATTCTGAATGATAACCTTGCTGGGTATTCTTGACTGCAGATTTTTCCTTTCAGCACATGCCATTCCTGTCTGGCCTACAAAGCTTCTGATGTAAAATCTGCTTATGTCCTTATAGGGTTTCCTTTGTATATAACTGTCTTCTCTTGCTGCTTTAAATTTTTTTTTCTTTATTACTACTTTTTGCCATTTTAAACACTTTATGTGTCTTGGTGAGGACCTTCTAGGGGTGAATTTGGGGGGAGGAATCTCTGTGCCTTCTGGATCTTTTATCTATTTCCTTCCCCAGATTAGGAAGTTTTCAGCTATTATTTCTTCAAATAAACATTCTGTCCCCTTTTCTCTCTCTCCTTTTGGGATCACTATAATGTGAATAGCATTCTACTTGATGGAATCACTGAAAAGACTATTTTCAATTCACATATTTTTTTTTCCCTTTCATTTGCACAGTTTGGTTCTTTTCATTACTCTGTCTCCAGGTCATTAATTCATTCCTCTGCTTCCTCTAGCCTGTTATTTTATTCCATCAAATGTACTTTTAATTTTATTTATTTTGTTCTTGATGTCTGATTGGTTCTTTCTTCTCTTTTTGTTAAGTCTCATAGATGTTCTCCACTCATTTCTCACGCCCAGTGAGTATCTTTATGGTCATTACTTTAAAGATTTTTTTAAAGATTTTATTTATTTATTTGAGAGAGAGAGAGGAGGGGCAGAGGGAGAGAAGGAATCTCAAGCAGACTTTGTGCTGAGCACGAACCCAACATGGGGCTCAACTTCACAACCCCAAGATCATAACCTGCACCAAAACCAAGAGTCGGATGGTTAACTGACTGAGCTTCCCTTCATGATC